TGYTGAAACACAGCCACCACAAGGAAACAGGCTGTGGCACAGCTCTCCAGGCAACTGCTAGGACATATGGAAACCCCAGGATGTCCTGGGAGGTGAAAGGAGAATTGTTATTGAAAGACTGCCTCTGTTTTCATTTTACAAAAGAATAGTTCAAATGTCACTTGTTTATTTGAGGAATAAACTATTCTACGTATTCCTTAGAAAAAGCCCCAAACAAGAAAATCAGAAACCTACCCTTAGTTTGTTTTTCAAGTTCAGAGCCTGTTCTATTTTAGTCCATACTATGCACTTGGCAAAGGATTCCACCTAAACCAGCGGTCAGAAATCTAGGCAAATGCTTTACAATTCCAGAGAGARCCAGAATTATCCTTGCCCAAGCTTCAGCACAGAGACAGAAACACATCTTGGACCCCAGGCTGATACAAGGCAACATTTTCCTGGGCAGGGCTAGAAATCCCCTGTCAACAGCAGCATCTAACAAGCTTTCAACTTGTTATGATGGATTCAATAAAAACRTAGAGCAAAAATGTCAAGATGGAAAATGTTAGAGCTCAGAAGATAAAAATTAACTCTAATATTCATTGACTACAAACATGGAAAAAACCCAAATACCAGGAAAGAAATCATTAACAGTGCTGRAAGTTAAGGAAATGGAAGATTTGACTACTTCAGTGTTTTATGGGAAATTCAAAAAAAACCTTTGCATCTTACCAGAAACCATGACRGTTAGACATCTTATTTCTGGCACGCTTCTTCATGACTTTGTGCTGCAGGGAAGGTTACTGAAGATTGAAAATTCCCTTTGAATCTTCACTGATTTTGCAGCTTTCAGCTTTCTGATAAAGTCTCCAGGGCTGAATTCAAAATTGGAATGGAAGGCACATCTCCCACCTGTGGCACAAGTCTTTGTCCTGCTCTAACTGCTCTTGTCTTCTTATTCTTCTTTAAGAATTCATCCAGAAGCCCTTCTCTGCAAATCAGTGAAAATTCAAAAAACGTTTTCAACAGCAGGCCCCAATAAAACTCAGCCACAAACCTGCTTTTAAATACTACTCATCAAAACAMGTAAAAAGAAACAACACRTATGATAGAGGAGCAGAGCTGATTCTGAATTAAATAGATTCTGAGTTTCCCCAGGAGAACTCTGAAGCTCTTAGGGGAGGAAAAAATCAGCCTGCACTACTGCTACACAGGAAGCAAGTGCCTGCTGTGTGGGAATAGATACACTTTTTATTTTTCCTCTAATGTCTGTATTACATCGGAATTTGCAAGGGAAGAAGAAAGGTACAATCAAGAAGCTTTCAGAAAAAATGGCAGAAGGGTAACATCAAAAACGATCTGTGTTACCAGTCTCAGAATTTAGAGTGGAGAACAAGAATGCACTGATTTTTTTTTTTTTTTTTTTTTAGTTACAAAGGAAGAACAGAGCATTAATGGTAGAACAGTTACTCACGAAGACCTGAATTCTTTATATAGTATCTTTAATTCAGTTTCTAGAGATCTTTGCAAAACATTGTCATTACAACGCATGCCTTAGTCTCCTGGGAAACTGGAGCAAAGCCACCACTGCACAAGTAAATTTGATTAATCTAAAGACAGACAGGCAGGTATTAGCAATGAGGGCCAAAACACTAAATTGTCCAACAGTCCCATCATCACTGAGGTACATCCAAAGCAAGCAGTAAAATCTCCCCAAAGTGTGTTTGGTTTTCTTTATTTAAAAAAAAAAAAAAAAAAAAAAAAAAAAAAAAAAAAAAAAGAAAAAAAAAAAGCTAAGTTAATTCATTAGAACAAGAATATTCTGAAGGAGAGATAAAAAATACAGCAATGTATGTACCTGTTGAATACCCTGGGTATTTGTTAACTAAGAGCCAAGTTAAGCTCAATAGCAAACAGAGCTCAGACAAATACTGTCTTATCTCGCTAATCACAGATGGAATGAAAAAACTAGGAAGCAGAAAGAAAAAAAAAATCTCCAAACACTTGCATGCCTTTAGTTGTCTTATCTACAAAGCATCACAGGTAGACTCAAAACTGTTAATGTTTTTCCCTTTCTGCAACAGGAAGATTTAGAGAGGCACAGAAATGTTTGTCCCCTTAGCAAAATTGCATCATCACGCATTTCCTAATCTTGTTAGGACGAGGACATGACCATGGGACATCAGACAGCATTTCCACTCTTAGCAGGAAGCAAAGGACAGTAATGTGGGTGCCCAGCTGTGTGGAGACGGGCAGAGTCTGCTCAGCAGTGCAGAAGAAGCTCAGAGAAATGCCCGAGGAAATCAGGTACYTGGCTGATGTGAGCTCTCGTTCAGCACCTAACAAGATGCATAAATACAGAAAGCGACAGCAAAGGAAATGCCAAAAACCTGCTTGAAGGCTTTGTGACACCAGCCAGGTAGCATTAAAGACCCAGCAGTCTCTTGCTGTGACCTGCCATTCCGTGCTCACAGGCTACCTCCAGCCCTGCTGGTAACAGCATTGACACAGGAGTGGCTTTCAAGAATTTTRGACTGATATAACCAGCTTTTAGAAAGGACGTGAATGAAAGAAWGGTTTAAAACAACAAAAAGGCAAAATATTCAACATCAAAATTGAACKAGCCAAAGCACTAACGGAAATTTTATTCAAGAGACTTCCTGTTACAGACCAGTATTTTGGTTGACAAAGAATTTTCCATAATTAATAATTCCTTGCTATGGACTTCTTGCACATAGGAAGTATGTTCCAGCTAGCTCGAGAAAGATCACTACATTAAAAACCAGACAATTAATTTATGAACTAGGACAGAAAAATGGTCACTTTTCACCCATTTTGATKCAAATCCATGTATCTTCTACATCCATCACCCACACATCAGTTAGCATGTTTTCCCTCTGAAAGGAAGCCCTCAGCAGTGTRCCAGAAACTAATTTGGCTCCTTTCTCACATATATTAATTAAACCCTCATCCAAATGAGGACTGGATGATGAGCCCTTTTCCCTTGCAATGTTTTAAAATGCAATTAAGAGTAAATGGTACAACTGGAAGATGCCTAGGCACACACAGATGGGTTCCAGCAGCAGAGCAATTTGCCATGAGTACATTCATTCCAAACACAGGGTGATGCACCAGGACAAGCCAAGAAAGAATGGGGCTTAATGAAATTTCATTAAATGAACATAAAATCTAGACACTGCACTCTGTAACAGCTCTACCTCAAACACTGCCTGATCAAGTCCCTTGGACWGTGGTATAACAGTCCTTCCCCTTCCATGCTGCTTGGACTCCAGGTGTACCTGGGGCTGGACAAGCACTGGGAGCCTGCAGTGCCCTGGGAAGGAGACGATTCCTTGGAGGCTGCACCAAGAGCAGCTCCTGTCACTGGAGGGATTTTATCCAGCAGATAAGCACTGGAAAACAGAAGTGACTGGCCAGCATGTACATATTTTAAAAAAAATCTCCTAATTTCCTCCCACTGGTGTTAAGCAAGCACACAGTGAAACAAACAAAACACCACAAACAAAACACCAACCTGGAAATAGATTTTCTGTGTAGGTAGCTTTTAAGAAGACTGAATGATAAAAACCCTGAAGCCTTGGCACAGAGAAAGACTTCAAAGTGAGCACCCCTAGAGAGGGCAATGCCAGAGTGGAAAGAGGAACGGACAAAGCAGATAAAGCTGTCAGTTCTGACAGAGGCTAAGGAGTAAAGTTCCCAAAACCTAAGAGTAAAGCCCAGGATGAAAGAATCAGAGTCAAAGCCAGGTTGGTTGTGAATTTGCAGGCACCCCATAAAAAGATATTTTATCTCAAAAACTGATATTTTATCTGACAGATATTTTAACTGAAATAAAACCTGCATTTAAAAGGCTGCATTTATTTAGGAATGAGCCTTATTTCTTCTGTGCACATTCACCAAYAAGAGTTTAAAGGACAAAATTTCAACTTTGCTACTTTAAGAAAACATAAACTGCTTAACTCACTGGGCATCTTGAGCAACACAGATACATTAAGTGTCTGCTGGATCTGGCAGAATGAACACCTTTCTGGCCTAAAGAGGCAAACCAAAACAGTTTGAAGTAAATTTGTTTTGGATCACATAGTGTTCTATGTGATTCTAAAAAAAAAAAACAACTGAAAACACCCAAACCTTTCTGTGGCACAGCAATTGTCACTTCAAAGGATTTTTCACAACCCTGACTACACCTGGCTCCTTCAGAGGTTGCTGTGGATGCAAAATAGATACTCTGTGAAATAAAATGCATACCATAATGTTGCCATTATTTGTTAACATCTAGCTCTACTGTTCTTTTTTTTTTTTTTTTTTTTT